GGGGGACAGAGGGTACCCTTGTCTGCCCTATTTGATGACACCCTACCCTGAACCTGAACCTGGACCGCAGGCACAATTGAACCTGGCCCACAGCAGAACACGGGTCAAGATGGAAGTGACCATACTATGCATCCTCCTGACATCATGTGTCATGTGACATCATAGCTGCTTGTGTTGTTCTTCACAACATTGCCACACTGAGAGGTGAGAGGGTCCCCCCTTCTCTTGATGAAGATGGCCAAGAGGAACCCCCAGTGAACCCAGTAGACCAAAGAGATGGCGGGGTAAAACTGGCCCTAAATGAGTTGATCAGCTGTCATCATTTATTGACCGCAATTCTCTTGTTTCTTGTGTTGACGAACTTGACCAACTACCTATCAGATCTGGGGTGGCCACAGGGGTGGTCAATGTTTTAAGGGGCTCTGGCCAACCCCTAGAGTCCCACTAAAGCACAGTCCACAGTTTTTCCTCTTTGTTGCCATCTCTGTTTGAAATCTGCAATTGTGTTTTTTCGGAATTATAACCTTTACGTGAGTTGTACTTCGACATGGCACAGCGTGGATGAATACAATGTTTGATGAGACTGTAAGGCTGTCAGTCACCGCGCCCCTGTGGATACTGTCATATAAGCCCCTTTCACACAGCGTGTTGATCCCAGGAAATTGCCAGAACGCCTTCAGTGTGAATGCAAACACGACCCGGGATTGATACCGGCATCAGTCCCGGAACGCGCGCTGTGTGAACAAAAGCCAGGACCAATGTCGTAAGGGGTGTGTCATAGTGATGACGCTCGTGCCATCGCGCGACTCTGTTGCTCTTAGAAGAAAGTTTGTGTGCGTCATCAACAAAGAAAGGAAGAACAAATGTCTGCAAACTCCTTACTATCCGCGCTGAAGCTGAGATCATTCACCAGCTTTGTGGAAGGGTATGCGCATGCCACGTGTACATGTTTTCGATGCGTACGTTACACGTCTCATCCTGACGTCATGTGTCTTTGCGGGATCTTTCCAGGTTGTGTGTGAACGCACTCACAGATCCCGGCAAATCACTGGCAGATTGAATGAACCGAAATCAGACAATCCCGGGACAAATGGTGGGTCACATTATCCGTGTATTTTCCGGAATCTCTGTGTGAAAGGGGCTTCAGAATCACAGATTATCCTTTTTGGAAGTATGACCAACATAACAATTTTCACCTGAAAATGTCGTCTGAACAAGTAAGAAATATCCACTTTTTCTGACATTGCTCTAAATAGCACTGATTAAATCTAACAATTGCGCTGATTAAATCTAATAATTGCTTATCACATCACGCAAAACCGTGCAAATTGTACTTTGTTCTCAAATTGTTCATGTTAACAATGTAAGCATTGTGTGACTACATGTAATGTCCTTCTGATATGTATCTGTTACACTCCTGAAAAAGGGGAGGTTGCTGTTACGGTAGCCAGCCCTTCTGGAATATCCTTACTCCAGTTTCAACACCCCCTTTTGGATGTTTAGGGACTCATATAATTGCTTCCTAGTATGTAGGACTGCTGCTGATTGATTGCTGATTGACTATCACCTGTTCTGATTCAACTCTGATTAGTTAACCTATATCTGGCTTGTTAACCTGGTGTCTGTTGGTGAAGGATTGTTTCACTGTTGTGTGCATGTCTGAGCATTCCTGGTTTTCCGTGCCAATCTGTGTCTTGACTCTTGCCTTGGTGTATCTCTGTGATTGTCTGCAGCCTGCCTATCCTGGTTTTCCATGCCTATCTGTGTCTTGACGCTTGCCTTGGTGTATCTCTGTGATTGTCTGCAGCCTACCTAGTGACCCTCTGCCTGTTTCTGGATTCCGTTTGCCTGCAGCCTGCCCTTGATCTTCAGCCTGGTTATCAACACTCCTTTGGTTTACCCTGAATCTGTTGATGCTGCTTCTTTATCTTTGACAAACTCTTAGATTTGAATAAATTGTTGCACTTGGATCTGCCTCTGTGATCGCCTTCATAACAGACACCAGGTTAACAAGCCAGATATAGGTTAACTAATCAAAGTTGAATCAGAAGAGAATCCTTCACGCAAATGAAGATCCAGCAACAATGTCTACTCTGTCTGCTGCAGTCACCGCTCGAGCCTCCCTGCTCACCACGCATCAGTTCCAGCTGTCTCGACTGTTCCAGTAACGGAGGAACTGCTCAGGGCTGTTCAGTCTCTGCAAAAGTCTGCTGTGGCTTCATCTCCAGCGTCAGCATCTCCTGCACCAGCACACGATACTGAGCCTCTGACTATCGAAAGTACGAGCCCTCAACTTGCTTTCCCCGAAAAGTTCACTGGAGATCCTGGTAAATGCAAAGACTTTGTTTTCAGATGCTCTCTGTATTTAGCCCAGCAGCGTTTGCTTTATCCTACTGATGCCAACAAAATCGCCTTTGTTTGTTCGCTGCTCTCTCCAATCCAATTGCAGCCGCGCATTGGATTGGCTGGTCTCGGTCTGGAAAATGGATGGATCCGCCTTCCCCTCATTTTAAGGTTATTCATGCAGCACTTTCAAGCAATGTTCGATGACGTCCAGGAGAGTGAGGAAGCGGAGAAACAAGTGCATCGCATGAGACCAGTCAAGCCTTCACGTTTCGTCATGCCTGTGCAGCCAGCTCTTCATGGCGACACTGTCCGGAAAATGCCTTGCGCCGGATTCCTTCGAATCCGCTCTCTGCACAGGTCCTGTTGAGCCTGCACTTCACGTAAGCCCTACCAAATCAGTTACTAGACTTTATATGACGATATCCAGCATAATAGACCCTCACCTGATATCAGTGCGATCAACCAGAAAGACTATGCCTCGTGCCAGATCCTTCAACTCTGCTCTCTGCACCGCAGCTGTTGTGCCTGTTGTCCACGTGAGTCTTGTCAAGTCCGCGCCCCAAATAGCGCCCGCTGAATCAAAGACAGTGGAAATTATGCCTGCCAAATCAGAGATTGAAGATGTTTTGCCTGCCGAACCTGAGTCTGAGAGCAACGAGGTCAGCCCTTCCGAGTCTACTGAGTCAAGCCCTTCCGAGTTTGACGAATCTGGCCTTGCTAAATGGAATGAATTCAGCCCAGTCAAGTCGAATGAAACCAGCTCAGCTGAGTTGAATGGATCCTGCACTGCCAATGGTGAGCTTTTGGCGTTCCCACCTACCCTCCCTCTCTTGCCTCTATTGGACTCATCTTGCTCTCCTGTTCTGCCGCTGTTGAGCCTTGTCCATCCCTCTGCTCATCCTCAGCTGCCCACCTTTGTCGCTGTGTACTTGCCCAAGTATGTCCAGTCCTCCGCTTTACCCTGGCCTGTGGACCCCCCACCTTCGCCTCTGTCCCCTGAGCCTCAGACTCCACCTTGGTCCTTCAATCCTTCGGCTTTACCTAGGCCCATAGTTCCCTCAGCTCCGTCATGTCCTGTCAGCCCACCAGCTTTGCCAGGCTCACTCGCCCTACCGTTTCTGCATTGGTCAGCCGTCACCCTGGCTCCACCACAGTCTTCCAGATCCTGTCCTCCGCCTCGGTCCCATGTGCCTTCCGCTCCGCCTTGGCCCTCCGGACCTGCGGTGTCACCTTGTCTCTGTGTCCGTCCGGCTCTGTTGGGGATCCCCGAACTGCCTGATCCTCCCTGGCTTCCTTAATTGCCTAACCCTCCCTGGGAAGGAGGGGTTTAGTTTGGAGCGTCTGGAAGCCGCTCCTTTGGGTGGGGGCTATGTTACGGTAGCCAGCCCTTCTGGAATATCCTTACTCCAGTTTCAACGCCCCCTTTTGCATGTTTAGGGACTCATATAATTGCTTCCTAGTATGTAGGACTGCTGCTGATTGATTGCTGATTGACTATCACCTGTTCTGATTCAACTCTGATTAGTTAACCTATATCTGGCTTGTTAACCTGGTGTCTGTTGGTGAAGGATTGTTTCACTGTTGTGTGCATGTCTGAGCATTCCTGGTTTTCCGTGCCTATCTGTGTCTTGACGCTTGCCTTGGTGTATCTCTGTGATTGTCTGCAGCCTGCCTAGTGACCCTCTGCCTGTTTCTGTTGCACTTGGATCTGCCTCTGTCATCGCCTTCATAACAGTTGCAAACGGAGATGTGAAATCGGATACTTTGTAGTTTCCATAGTGACCGCTCACGAGGTGTTTGCATACTTTACCACAGCGGAAGTGAAATAAATGCAATATTTGCCAAATACACAGATATTTCAGACACATTTTCATTCAAAACTTTTTTTTATCAGTTTTGATAAACATGACACAATATAGCATCGCGACTACATGAAAAAACTGGTTACTGTTATAAAAAAAATGATTTGTGAGCTTTAGTGGAACTTAAGGTGTGAGAATAAAAACAAAACGCACATGATCGTTGTCATGCGGTGAATCCAGTGAATCGTGGAACAGTTGTGACGTCATCAGAGCTTGTGCAGCCGCTCTTGAGAAGCTGCGCTGGCTGAGTTCTCCGGCTACTCTCGAATCGTTCTCGCGGTACTTTGATAGCACACGTCACAGTCATGTGGAGTCAGCGCTGCATCAAGTCGGACAAAATTTCTAACCGGCATGCACTGCTTCAAGTCAGCCGCCAATCATTTCATTCATTTAAAGTGATTAAAATCTGATCTAAACTGAAAATAATGACAAATAACACACATTTACATATTGTTAATCATCAAATACATTATATTTCTGTAAGTATTTCTCCTATATCTTAACATTTGAGAAGTGCAATGCCTCCATGTAATGTGCAAGGTGCACATGCTATTTTGACTACCATTCTTTCCCAAAATTGTAAAATTACAACAAAGACATAACAAGCTAAAAAATCTAATTTCATGTATACATTCCACAATAACCAAGTATTTACATGAAGTAGACATTCTAACAATGACAAAAAATATATTTCTGGGGTTTCTTTACTTCTGTGTTGAGATATCCAGTCCAATGAAACAAGGAGACATACTCGATATCTTATTTGCCCAAGTTGTTGTTTGCACTAGCACCATGTCCTCGTTCTCCAAAACTGTTTCACTTAGTAAAATTGTGTACCCTATGAAAGAGAGCTGTAATGGAACAGTATGTCAAAGAGCATGGTGTTCCTGAACATCATCATACAAATCAAGGCTGCCAGTTTTAGGCAGATCTAATCAAGGAGTTGAGTTTCAAGTTTGGTGCCACCAGAATTAGGACTCCTTATCATCCTGAGGGAAATGGTTTAATTGAAAGATTCAATCGCAAAATTAACTTTTACGTTGTTTGAAACTGTGTGAAAATTGAGATGGGGGTGTGTACACGACAACCCTATAATGGTAAAAATCCACCCCCTCCTTTTTTTATATTCCCCATGACTCATTAACTGTTTCAAAATGGGTCATTTGCAATTTATACACACTGTGTTCTGTTGTCATTGCTCGTTCACGATTCCAATGACGCTGCTGACGTGTTATCTCGTGCGCCCGAGCTTCGTTTACAGTCTGATGGAGCTTTTTCAAGCTTTTCTACATTGTTTGTATTTTGGTATTGCAATATTTTTTAAAATGGTTCGTAAGTGTGCATGTCGCGGATGTCCTAATCGTTCTAATTGGGCGCACAAGATAACACGTCAGCAGCGCCATTGGAATCGTGAACGAGCAATGACAACAGAACCGGAAGAGAATACAATGAACTAAAAATTCTAACTAGCCCACTCATGTCACATGGACTACTTTGATGATGTCTGTATTGCCTTTATGGACAAGGACAGTATAAGGTACACATTTTCAATGGAGGGACAGAAAGCTCTCGGACTAAATCTAAAATATCTTAAACTGTGTTCCGAAGCTGAACGGAGGTCTTACGGGCTTGGAACGACATGAGGGTGAGTCATTAATGACATAATTTTCATTTTTGGGTGAACTAACCGGCTTCTGCCCATGTGTTCCCCAACACAAAACACACACGTAACACAACAAACACATAAAAACAATCAAATTAATTTTTCTCTAAGAGAGAACCTTTCTACAGAGAGAGATTTTTTCTTAAGAGAGCATCTCTATAAACCCCTGCATGCCATCCCTAGTTCACCCACTAGAAAATGATCAGCTGATGGTTCTTTTCATTGTTAAATGTATCTTTTCCATAGTTCCATTTCCTGCAGTTTCATTACTGTATGTCACTCACCATTTTACTAAATCACAAACCTAACTAAACTAAACACAAATACATAAATGCAAAGGTAAAATGGTGAGTGACATAATGAAACCGGAAGCAGGAAATGTAACTATGGAAAAGATACATTTAAAAATGAAAAGAACCATACAATATTACTTGTTACATGCTCTAAGAGCTGTACATTTTTCTGTGGCCATGAAAGAGACCCTTTTCTTAGAATAAATTAATAATCAAAAGAGTTTGTTGGATGAACTGATTAAATGATTGTAATATTAATTTAGCTACACAAAGTTAATCCAATTTTCTGACCCAAATATTCATAATTAATCATAACAAGTTATGATTGATTAATAATATTTCTCCTTTGGGCTAACTTGTTACACACATACAGATTTAGAATTCACAGCATTTCTCTTGAGCGAACAATGACCGAGACATTAAGTACATGATGTGGATATTCCCTATTATACCTTAGGGACCACAGATGAAAGTTTGGGAGGCACTTATGAAGGAACAGAGCCAATGGGGTTGCTGTGGAGCATGAGACCCGCACCAGGAAGTCCAAAAGGACTCAGGTTGATTAGACTAGAACAAAATAATAGTGTGTGCTTTGTATTACCAAGTTTAAATTCAGGTTTCTTTTTTATTTGAGGGATTTGACACTCTCTTTTGTGACCTACATACTCTTTACTCCAGAATACGCAAGAGGGATATTCTTACACCAATGGTAGTTCACATTTCAGTATACAGTGGGCATCTATCTGAAGGCTTCAGCGAGGAACCACCCCTGGCAACAAGTGTCATAGAGCGCTGGCATGTAGCACCAGGTGTGAAAAGGATAAACATCAGGGAGGAAGAAGTACAAGGAACACTTTTCCTACCTCCAGGTACACAGACACTCATACTCACTCACACACACACACACACACTAAATAACAGATTTCTAATCAGGGGTCAATATCTATTAGATCTTTCATGATCATTGCTTGTGTGTAAAAATGACTTGCTGTGTGTTTTTTAGGCCCTGGGCCGTTCCCAGGAGTGCTGGATCTGTGGGGAGCAGGTGGTGGTTTGGTCGAATATCGCTCTGCCCTGCTTGCATCTCATGGCTTTGCATCTATGGCACTTGATTACTTCGCTCCAAAAGGGCTGAGAATGCAAGATGTTGATATTGCTTACTTTGAGGTAATTTCGAACTTTTGACAGTCTCCTATCGTGGACCAACCTTCGCATTACTTTTGATGTGATTTGGCATTATTAGTGGACTGTGTTTCCTGAGGAGACACTCAAAATAAATTATTGGCCATCAAAGCAAATGTGATAATATTAGGTACTCACTGATTTGCCACAGCATTGTACACAAAAGATGAAGTCAACAACATTGATTATATCATTACAATGGCGCCTATCAATGGGGTAGTATTTATTAGGCAGCAAGTGAATGGTCAGCCCTGCTGAAAAAAAGTTGTTTTTTTTTTTACACTTCTTTAGATGGTCAGGCTGGGAGAAAATTGGGCAAGTGAGAAGATCTGTGTGATTTTTACAAGGGGCAAATAATTATAACAATAATAATAATAATGGCTGTGGATCTTTGACAATTACAAATTATTGAAGCTACAGGGGATGCCTGTCAGGACAAAATACAGAGAGCTGTATGCTTCACTGCCTTAGCACAAAGGGGCAATGTATATTTTACTCATTACCTCCAACAGGTACAACATATAAGGATGCAGAGGAAGCATTGAAAGCCTACTTTGTGCCATAAGCTAACTCATACCTGCTGTCCGGCGCCTCATGAGACAAGAATGTGTTTATCTCATAAATACGTAAGAGGATTTTACTAGAAACTGATCTTTCATTAGCCCCTTTTCCACCAAAGCATTTTGAGAGCCGGTTCGGAGCCGGTGCCTGCGCGCGAACCAGTTCTTTGTGTGTCGACAGCCAAAGAACCAGTTCGTGGCCGGGAAAACTGGTTCCATAGCGGCACCAACTCTTTGCTGGACTAGAATCGTTCTTTTAGCACGTCATGTTTACGTCGGGGGCTGGGCCGGGTTTAGATGTGTTCTAAACATATTTTCTGACCATCGCAAAGCCAGGAGAAACTGCAGAAACACGCAAGCGTTTTTATTTATTTTTATTTATTTATTTGAAACGCAAGCAAAGAAGAAAACAGTCACGATATAGAACAAATAAATGGAAAGAAAAAAAAGACACAAGACAGGGGTACACAACTTGTCAGAAAAGATTACATTTCAAACGAAAAGATTAAAAGACTTACATATTTCAATTGTTTTTAAAGTTTTCTTGGTACATGAGTTAGAGATAATCCCAAAGCAATGTACTTGCAAGCGTTTCTAGCGACGTGCACAGTGACGTAACGACGTCGTTCCCTGGGCGCTCTAGTCAGTGGAAAAACAAACAGGTTCTGAAGTTGAACCAACTCCGAACCAACTTTGAATCAGCGGTGGAAAAGGGGTAATTGGGCAGAGCTGTTACGATAGCAAGCCAGATTGATCCTGCAGCCAATCAGGCTAAATCTATTTAAAATGTATTGTTATAAAATTTAAAATTTATCTTAATAAGTTACTGCCCCCATACAAGTGGTGCAGCACACAGTACAACAGAACAAGGGGAAAACCATCACATGCACCTCTTATTTCTGCTCAGGTGGGGAAGAGGAAGTCTAATGGTGCCGTAGAGACAAACACAAATAGCCATCGAGCTACATGGAAACCTGCAGTAACTGAACTCTTGTAGCTGTCACACATGCTGCAAGTGGTACTTCACTCTTTCACTCTTCTATGGCAGGCAAATGTGCACAAATCTGTCTATTTTGCTGTCTGCTCCTGTGCACACGCCAACTGACATGACTGTTTGCCAAAGGATTACATGGCTGCAACACAGAATGAAAAAATACATTGATGCTAAGCAGAGTGCTTACACTCCTAGTTTCCAGGAGGGGGATAAAGTGACGATTCAGAACCCCTTGCATGTTCCTAAGTTCCACAAAGTTTACTGATCCTCTCACGGTTGCCAAAAAATGGGGGTGGGTACATATTTTCTTAGGCCCTTTTTACAAGAGAACGCTCGCAGGTGAAAACGTAAAAATAATTTTATCGGATGTTCATTTCGTTTACACGGCGACGGCGTTTTTGAGGCTTAAACACGCAAAAAAGTGAAACCACCCTCCAGAGCGGAAATCTTAAAGACGCTCCACCGCCGCGTTCCCGTGTAAAGGGTAAAAACGCAGTGAAGATTGTACGCAGGCATGGGGACTTGGTGTTGTTGTAGTATGCACTCCTAGCCGCTTGGAGTGCATAGAATGCATTGGTATTTCCCACCCAAAACACCTGTCTAAACGCAGAATAAAAAGTGATAACGCAACGCCACTTTTGCGTTTTCTCTTCAGAATTTTTTCAGTGTAAACATAGCCTTAGAGATGGAAAGACATAGAATACTTCCTATCTCACGCATTTCCAGCCCTACCAACAACTCTGGCTGAGAACACTGCTCACTAGTCACTACACACACTAATACCACGAGACCCAAACGTTATGTTCAGAAGCCTAGGTGGTTAAATTACTGTGTTACTAAAATCTGATGTTCTTAAAAAAGGGTGAATTATATTATGGTCCCATTCCCTTATCTCCTCTCCAACTGTTTCCTATCTCTCACTAAACTATCCTATCAAAGACAGATAGTTAAAATGTATTCATATATAAACATTTTATCTAAGTGGTCTAACACATCTCCAACCTTCACCCAAAAAGCAGAATCCACTGTATTTGAGTATATACAAACCTAAATTGGGTTGTGTGGTTAACAGTTGATTAATCTTTACAGATGTGTGCTTGTGTGTACATGTTTCTTGTAGAAAGCATACCAGATCCTGAAGAATCATCCATTGGTACAGACGGATCAACTGGCTGTCCTTGGGCTGTCTTTTGGAAGTATAGTCACACTCAGTATTGTGGCCTACTCCAATGTCATCAAGGTTTGCTTGGCCTACACCAGTGGTCTCCAACCTTGTTCCTGGAGAACAACTGTCCTGCAGATATCAGTTCAACAACCCTGCTGCGACAGGTCTGTGATTTTCAAGTAACCCTGATCCCCTTGATTGGCTGGTTTAGGTGTGTTTGGGGATAAATCTGAACACTGTAGGACAGTAGCTCTGCAGGTGAATGGTTGGAGACCCACACACACGAATCTACATTTTGAATGCAGATATTTTTTTCTTGTATTACATTGGTATGTTAATCAGTGTCTATTTATTTTCTTTTAGCCCCAGTGTTGTGTGTCTATTAATGGAAGTCACCTGATTCCTTTCGACCAAAACCTCTTTGAAATCATTGAGGAGATGAAAAAGTGAGACACAGAAAACAGTAAATATGTTGTGGTGTTATAAAGTATTTTTCATTTTTTGTTATTCAATGTGGTCCCAATATTTGAGCAAATAATTCACACTTAAAACTGTATTAACTTGACAAATACTGCATCTCTGTCATTGGCTTTCAAAGAGCCACAGTTACATTCATAACTGCCATTTTATTTTATGCCTCCTGACTGTCAGTGAGGCTTTTGGATGACCAGCAGCATAAGAAAGAGTGAAAGATACACGTCCATCAGGAAAGAAAACTATACTTGGGAGAAGTGCATGAACAAAAATAATAGAAATCATTTGAAATTCTGTAGTTAAAGTGGATGGGGATGACCAGGTAGCCTCTGCACATGCACTCACCTAAAGAATTACACCTGAGACAGCGTAGACAGAGATGCATTTCTTTCAACCCAACTGATAAAAATAACATATGTTCTGTCAGAAAGAGGACAAGGATTACCCCTCACAAATAAAGGAGTAAGACAAACCAAGGCCTGGCTGGCAACCCCCACACGAACACCGGTAAAACTCATGCAGAGTTTAATTGCAACCCTAATTAAACGCATCTGATAAAGCTAATCAAGTCATTTAGGATTATTTGAAAGCTATGGTATGTGTATTGGAGCAGGGTTGGAACTAAGGATTGTTTGTGTAGATGCATTTAGAGCATAGTACTGATGTCTATTCATAAAACTTATTTTTGTAAAACACTTTTTTTTCATTATATTTTTTTTTACTTAAGTGTTCAGATTTATTATGGGGCCACAGTATGAGAATACAATGTGAACTGAATTATTTTCTCAAAACAGTAATATGGAGTAAATTTGTTCAATGTAAATACTTTACTAATGATAAGCACTAAAAATTGTATTCCAGGAATGTAGATAAACTACGTGGGAATGACAAAAACCAGGTAGTTCACAGAGATATTTTCTTTAGCACTTCCCCAGACCCACCAGCCAAAGTAGATGTGAGTATATGTTGATATTATGGATACATTTATTTTCTTGTGATGTCAATTGTCAGTTATTATTTAAATGCACACAGGTTGGGAGAATAAAGTGTCCACTTCTGTTGGTGACTGCTGGCGATGATCAGGCTGTACCTGCAGTTGAATGTGCTGAAGATGTAAGTTACATTTCTCATGTATTATTGTCTGCTGTTAAGATAATAACTGTCTGAAACTGTTGTAGTAACTTTTTGAAACTGTTTTCAAATTTTACATTTGCTAATAGGTAAACTAATAGGTAGTTCTTCATTAACACTTAAGTCACTACTATTAACTACTAAGGAAGATGTGTTAGAATGTCATGATTGTGTCAAGTAACAGTTAGTAAATCAATAATAACTAATGAATTCTGTCATACCTCCTGAAGAGCTACGACTAATTATCTAATTAAGGTTCGGGAAAAATAAGTAAGAAGTAACTAATGAGCAGTCGACCTTATTTACTAATATGTTATCAACAGAAGTAGCCATTTTAACAAATACATATCATGTTAAAGTTAAATGTTTGCCTGTGTGGTTTTCTGAGTGTGTTCTGTGAGAAATCAACTTCAGAAAGGAACCCCGCACTAGTGTTTTGCCATAACTAACCTCAGATTAGTTTTATATGTTATAAACAGTACTGTGTGTGTCTGTTTTCCTCAGCATAGAATGCCATTGTGTAAATTCACGTATTTGAGTATTTGAGAACGATTGAGGGAAACTGAAAAAATAGGGAACTTATATAAAGTAATTAATAAATAATTATTAGATCATTCTTCAGGAATGACTTAGAACCTGAAACATTCTATAGTGAAAATATAGGGAACTCATTAGTAGTTAATAAAAAAATATCAAATAATTATCCAGGAATTTGGCAACTGATAACCTGAAATACTATTCTAAAGTGTATAAATTAAATATAAGAAATGAATTGGTAATTAATAAATAATTATTAGATAACTGTTCAGGAATTACTTGGATCCTGAAATAGTATTCTAAAGTGAAAAAATAGGGAACCCATTAGTAATTAATAAAGAATTACCACATACTGTACTTACCACATCCCTAACTCAAAACAAAACTACTGTAAGAAAATCATACTAAGTTTTGAGAATAAAAAGTTATTTGCAGATCTTAAGAAAAAGCCAAGAGGAAGATGATCTGGTGTTTTTGGCTGTTGAGATGATGGCATCCTCAATCATCCTAGTTTCCTTTCAGTCAACAACGAGTCGGATGTAGTCGACGGTCGACTGAATGGGTCTCGCGTCAGAGAGCAAATGTTCTTCAAATACTATTGAACGAGCCAAATGGAATTGGCATGCGTGATTCGCATAACACACTCCGCCCCCGCGGCACGGGTATAAATACGGAAGTGGATGCAGGCACTAATTGCCTTTCGCTTCGCAGTCGATCGAATTGATGTCTCAGAAGTCAAGTCACATTTCAAGTCACATTTATTTATATAGCACTTTTCACAATACAGATTGTATCAAAGCAGCTTCACAGTGATAACATGAAAGTAGTACAACACAGATCAATAATATTGTTAAATATTAAATACTAAATAACCCCGACTAAGCAAGCCAAAAGCAAGGCGACAGTGGCAAGGAACCAAAACTCCATCAGATTGGATGGAGAAAAAACCTTGGGAGAACCCAGGCTCAGTCGGGGGCCAGTTCTCCTCTGGCTTACATTCATATTGTTTATATAAATATTAAATATAAATATTGTTCATATATAAAACGGCGCCATAACATATCGCCGGCGTTGAGTCGTCTCTTCACAGGCGTTGGTCTTCTCATCAGAGGCGTTGGGGCATCCGAAATCCCTGTGAGAGGCTGTATACAAAACTGGACCTGACGAACGCCATTTTTCTTGGGACAAGCGTCCCGAGATAACAGCAGAAAGGCAGATGGGAAACAATTCATAATGATTTCCATTATACGGGAGTCGGTGTTAGAAAACCACTCTCTCACAAACTCTCCGCGCCCCAACCATACGCACCAACCCGTTTGACTAAGGCTGTCGAGCCCCACTGTCACGGAAATGCGTTTCAGTGGCAAACGGGTCCGTATGGACTAAAATAACAGAGGACTAAAAGGTAAGCATTATGTGAATGCTTGACTAAAGAGATGCGTCTTTAATCTAGTTTTAAACTGTGTCAGCGAGTCAGAGGCTCGGACCGTATCTGGAAGGCCATTCCAGAGTTTTGGAGCTAAATGCGAGAACGCCCTCCCTCCTTTACTGGACTTCGATATCCTAGGAATGACCAGAAGCCTTGAATTTAGTGATCTTAAGGAACGCGGTGGATTGTAGGGCGAGAGAAGGTCCGTTAAGTACATAGGAGCTAAACCATTTAGGGCTTTATAGGTTAGTAGTAGTATTTTGTAGTTGATACGGAACTTAATAGGTAACCAGTGTAGAGATGATAAAATCGGTGTTATATGATCATATTTTCTTGACCTAGTAAGAACTCTAGCAGCTGCATTTTGTACTAACTGTAACTTGTTTATTGAGGATGCAGGACAACCGGCTAATAAAGCATTACAGTAATCTAGTCTCGAGGTCATGAATGCGTGAACTAATTTTTCTGCATCAGAAATAGATAGCATGTTACGTAGCTTAGCAATGTTTCTAAGGTGGAAAAAGGCTGTTCTTGTAACATAAGAAATATGATTTTCGAAAGACAAGTTGCGGTCTAGTATAACACCCAGGTCTTTTACTGTAGTGGATAAAGTAACAGGACATCCATCTATATTAAAGTTGTATTGTAAGAGGTTTTGTGAGTAGTTTTTTGGACCAATAAGTAATGCCTCCTGAAGTGTGCTGTTGTTTACCACGAGTGTTACGAGTGTCAGTGATCTTAAGGAAAACTCCCAGTTCTGGTGTTCTACAGTGCGAGTGGAGCAGTGATGGCGAGCTTTGAGCTCTCAACTGCTGTTTCAACAGCAACAAATTTCAAAAAAGGGTTTGTATGTGTTAACCATAGGCGTCATTTACGGGGGGGACGGGTGGGACATGTCCCCACCACTTTTTGCCAGGGTCGAATTTGCACCGACCACTTTTGAAACATCTCGCGGCACAGATGTACCAATACAAATAAAACATCTCCAGTTAACAGCATTCGTTTCATTTGTTTGTTAAATAACAGGCGATCAAGCACTGAAATGTGTTGTTTTCTCTCCGAAACGCGCTTCAATCCTTTGCGGAGATTCGTTCTGGTGAAATCACAAATCAAAATGCACAAAAACGTGTCCCTTTTTCTCCTGGGTTCTAATCCGCTCTCGTATATTTTTTTTCCCCTCGTCAAAACATATACAACCAACCACTGATAAACATTATATCAATTCAACCACTGATAAACATTATTGGTTTTGACGAGGGGAAAAAAAAAACTATTCGAGTGCGGATTAGAACCTCGAACCCCCCGAGTCCCGACACGCTAGGCAAAAATTCTACCTCTGGACCATCACTGTACATATACAATCAAGGGCGTATACTTTATATACTCACTATACTCGGACATTGTGCTCATTTTTATTTATGTAAATCAGGAAGCTACAGGACATCGTCTTTCAAAACATGACCTAATCGAAAGTGAAAAAAAGAATGAATGCGTTATTGTACCCAGCACTTTTGAAAATGCTCTTCTGAATGCGTCTCTGTCCCCAGCACATTTCAAACCAAACTGACGCCCATGGTGTTAACGGCTGGTTAGAGGGCAGAAAAGTGAGTGCTTCACTGTTTCAGTTTACTGTTCAGTGTTGCTGCGGTCATTCCCCTGTGTGGGATGAGTGATTCCCACTGGTAATGAGTCCTATTTACTGAAAGAGCGACACGGGTGTGTTTGCGTCTTTTTCGAGATGTCCTTCCACCTGTGAGTTTCTGGATGCGGCCGTTTCCTTTTCCTCTCTGACGGTCACAATTGTTGCATCACGTGTTTGAGCTATATATTTACGTGTATATAAATGTGTGTGTGTATATATATATATATATATATATATATATATATATATATATATATATATTAGGGCTGTAGTCAAGACCACCTTTGTCGAGTCCAAGACAAGTCCAAGACCAGGACTAGTCGAGTCCAAGTCAAGACCGAGTCCAAAGAGGCTCGAGTCCAAGACAAGACCGAGTCCAAAAGAGTTCGAGTCCGAGTCAAGACCGAGTCCAGGACAGAAAAAAAAAAGTCTTTTTTTTCAGGGCCTGGATTTAATGTTTGCACTCATTGCATTTTTACAATGGGGTAATGTTGTTAAGAATTTACACAACACAAGGCTTGATTTAAATTGTTCAATTAAATTGAAAAAGTTGCACAAATAAATACAATACAATAAAGATACAAATAAAGACAAATTAAGAGAAAGCTTTTTGAATAGGTCTAACACTAGTATTCATAGACAGAAACTGAATAAAATAATCAAATGGAAATTAACTCAAATAAATTAAACACATAGGCTATCGATCCTGATACCTTTAACTTAAAGCTCTGTTTTGTTGTTTATATGACAAAATTAATGACCGACACATATGGTTGCTGTCACTTTAAGAGCCAGTGCGCGGATCCTGTGTTCATTATACTGGCGTGCGTTTTATACTTATTAAAGACAAATCCGACTATGTTAAGTGTATTCTCACAAAGACCGAAATTGACACAGTTTTGAGTGATAAAGCAATATATCTAATCCATGAAAAATAACTTTTGATACTGGGCAGCTGTTCTTGAGGCGGATATTCTATGAATGTGCGCAAAGTCATCCCAGAGAGCACGCGAGGACAACATTGCTTGAATGTTAAACTGGTAAGACTTAAAAAGATGTGCAAATGGTAAGCTTTATTCACGATGCACTGCTGGTCCGATTGTGCAAGTGAATATTCCGTCATGTCCCGACTCCTGAACGCGAGTGTGTATCGCAGCAGCGCTTGATGAGCCTTCCACAACACATGAGAGAAGAGAAGACGCGGCACCGCCGAACACTCACAATGTTTGTGAAATTGCGTCTGGCAGATAGTTATTAAAAGAATAATTTGATTTTATAATCTGTGTGGATTACGATTGTGGGAATATCCCGCATTATAAATGGGAGACCTGCGCCTGCGGGAATGATTAGAATTGTGCGCAACACCCAGGATTT